ACACACAGAGAGAGAGAGAGAGAGAGAGAGAGAGAGAGAGTCGGACTCCTTTCTTTTTTCAGACGTTACCCTCTTTTCTTTTCAACTTTTTCTGTCAGCAACAGAACTCCTGTGGGGTTAAGGTTTTAATGTCCTTCTCCCGCTAAGAACCGGGCCCTATTGTGTGGAGTCCTGTCCTTTATCTCAGACCCCGGGCACTTCTCATTCTACCCAGTCCTTCATTCCTCTCCGATTTCGGCAATTCCTGTACTCCGGCTCCTTAACCCTGACTTTGTAATTCTTCTCGTACGTATCCACCCCACCCTACCCCAGGAGATTTCCATCGCGACTTCAGACCTGCTGGAGAATTGGGTAGTGCTTTCAAAAGTCGCTCACATGAATCTTTTCTTTGAATCTGGACCCACACCATTGAGGCCGTGCCAGCTTCCTGTGACTCGGTGCCTCTCTTTAGTGTCTTTCAGTTTGGAGCCTCACAACTCGGGCCTCTGTCTGTCTGGCTCTGCGTTCCTGGCCCCTGCCCAGGAATTGAGGATAAATCTCAGGCCTTGGCTCTCTCAGTGCTAAATTCTGTGGAAGCGAGCCAGGCAGCAACCCTGTTTTGCTAAGAAACCTCCAGCTTAAAGATGCCTAATTTCTGGGAAGAGGGATGTGAGGATTTTCTTTGTTGTTTTTGTTTAAGCAATGTTAACCAATTTCCTGTCAGAATTCTGGTTCCAAATTCAGAGTTGAAGGGACAAGGAACACCCAGCGAAGGGTGTGTGACTCAGACTTTAAGTCTGGAATTTCAAACACATTACTTCTGTTTGCTTGATCGGGACCTCCTTGGACTGAAAGCAACTGGATCCTTTCTATTTTAATAGGAGAAAAGTTGCACGGCCTTCTTCTTTTCCTCCTCCTCCTCCTCCTCCAGCTCTGGCTGCTGTCCCTCCCTCCCTCCCTCCCTCCCTTCTTCCCTCCCTCCCTCCCTTCCTCCATTTCTTTCTTGGGGAAGCTGTAGTGGAAACAGCGGGAACAGGCTTTGGAGACCTGTCACTTGCTAGCGCTGTCTTTGGGGGAAGGGACTCATAACCTCGCCGGCCAACAGTTTCTTCAAGGGTTATGCTATGGATTAATTACAATTCTGCAACTGACACCATAATGGGCACTTAATATGATTGTTGGCTCGGATTTTCTGATTAGCTCTTCCTTAAGGACCTATGTCATTTTCACCTACTCTTAAATATTTGTATCTTTATAAAAAGCAAAGATTTCGATGGAAACAGATATTCAGATCGACTTTGCACCATGCCTAATGGTTCCTTTACTATTCATTTCCCTGCACTCTTGAGCCACTTTGAACTTCAGCTGTGGCCAGGACTCTGTAAGGCGCTGGGGGTACAAGAGGATATATTTCTGAAACTCGTGAGCCACCATAGTTACTTCCCAGACAGCTTCCTGGATTTAGCGAGGCTATGGATAGAACTGCCTTCAGCGATATCCTGCTGCTTCAGGTCTTTTACGTCAGTTCCGAAGGAAACATTCTTCTTCGGGGTGTAGTTGTAACCAGCAGTTACCCTAATTCTGAAGAGCCCCTCTTGGAAATGTCCAGGCATTTGGTGAACATCATAGAGAAATGTCCCCTCTTTTCTCGCCTGTGCTTCTCTGCCCTGAAGAGTCTCCGGTTTGTCGTCTAAGCTGGTTGCCTGGAAAACCATTTTAGTTTCCTTAGAAAGGATGAGGGAACAAAGGGCTTGCACTGACAAAGAGAAGTCAGTCGGATTCAGACTCTGTGGTGAGCCTCTCCTTCAGTCTCCCCACCTCCCACCACAGTCTTCTTTTTCTTGAGTTTCTTGTTTCCAGTCTGGGTGTCCAGCTAGTGCTGTAGGAGAATTTGGCTCTCTGCTGATTTGGCTCCAAGTCCTTCACCACATGGAACCACTTATTCTGCTTCAATTAATAGGCAAAGCTTCCACTGGCATGGACCCATATACCCTTGTGACTGATGGCATGATAGTCAGGGGATGGTTCTGTTGCCCTGAATATGATTTACTTTGGTTGCTGTCCAGATTGCTCTTTCATCTGGCAATACCTCCCACGTCATCTTTGCTTCACATCCTTCATCTTCTTTCTGACGGCTCCAAGCTTACCAATCCCACTGCTGTCTTTTTAGATTTACCTCCCCCAGTGTTGGATCTCAGCATCTAGACACACACATGTGCACGTGCACATGTGCACATACACACACACACACACACATACACACACACACACACACACACAAAAACACTTCCCTCTTCTCTTATTTCCATCATCTTTCCCACTCCCCATTCCCCTACCCATACCTGCTCAAAAGTCTCACACACTCTTGTGCTGGCTACTTTGTTTTGGTTTGATTTGGTTTTGAGACAAGGTCTTGATGTATAGCCTAGGTTGTCATGGAGCTCACTGTGTAGTTCAGGCTTTCGAGTTCATGGTGATTCCCCTGCCTCAACTTCCCTTCCCTGAGACTACAAGCATGTGCCATCATGCCTGGCTTGCTGTTGGATCTCACATTGTGTAGAATTTGGATTGGGGACATGACCTGTCATACAGTGGCTACGTGATCTTGGCGATGTTGCTTACTCTTTTTCGGCCTTATCTGTTCCAGTTATTCATTTAACAAACATTTACTGCTTGCCAGATGCAGTGGTGAACACGGCACATATTCAGTCTATCTTGATAGAGCTCAGTTGGCTTTTGAGAATGTGGAAGGATTAATGCCGCAATAAAGCAGATAGTACAATAGAAGGAGGGCTTGTCTGGGAGCCAAATGATTATTATTATTTCTTAATCCTGCTTCTGTAACTTCCAGTGTGTTCCTTAAGTTGTATTTTTTTTAAAAATGGATATTATAGTACTTGTCTTGATTTAAAGGTTTTTTTTTAATGTATGTAGGTGTTTTACCTGCATGCATATCTGTGTTTCATGTTCATGCCTGGTGCCCACAGAGACCAGAAGGATGTGTTGAGTCCCCAGGGACTGGACTTACAGATGGTTTTGAGCCACATTGTGGGTGCTGGGAATTGAACCCGGGTCCTCTGGAAGAGTAGTAAGTGAACCAGTGAACCAACCATCTCTCCAGCCCAATAATAAATAAATTTTGTGTGATCTTTTCTCCTTAGCTACTCTTTGTCATCAGAATCACAGACAGATTCTTTTTCTAAAGCTGTCACTGGAGCTAAACTGGTGCACATCTACACATCTACAATTTTTGGAAATATGGAATCAGCGCTCCTGTTCATTTCTTGTGGCTATAATAACAAAGCAACACAAATTCTGCTGCTTAAAACAGCAGTAATGAAATAAACAACATAAATGAAGTGTGTGAGGTGGTGCACATCTATAATCTTACTGGGGAGGTGGAGACAGAAGGAAAAATGGGAATTAATGACCATCCCTGGCTATATGGGGGAATTTGAGGCCAACTTGAGCTATGTGAGCCTTGTTTCAAAAAACTAAAGCACAAGAGTGTGTGTTCTTGTACAGTTCTGCAGGCCAGATGTCAGCATCAGTATCACTGGGTCAAGTGGGTGTTAGCAAGATCCTGCAAGAAAGTCTACTGTCCCTTGCCTTCTCCAGCCCCTGGTGGCAGTGACATTCCTGAGCCCTGATCATGACCACATGGTTTCGCGTGCCTCTGTGCCTTCTCCTCTTCTGTGCTTTGTCAAGTCTGAGCACCCCTAACAGTTTTGTTGCTGTTTCTTTTTGGTTTTGGAGACTGGATCTTACCTGTGTAGCTCTAGCCGACCTGGAAGTCATAATGCAGACCAGGCTAGCCTTGAACTCAGTGCTCCACTTGCCTCTGCCTCCCCGCACCACCAATGTAATCTAGGATGATTTCCATGAGTCAGATTCCTTAAACACACCGGCAAAGTCTTTTTCATGTGAGCTGATATCCACAGGTTCCAGGGATTGAATAAACACATCTTGGCGGGATGCACTATTTGGCTTTACTACGTCTCTGTCATACTATGTCCTTACTAAAGTCACTGCTACCTCACAATGCTGTCTTTCCAGAACTTCTGTGCACTATAGGTTAGGTATGGTCTTCTAAAAAGAAAAGGAAATCATAGATAAAATATTGTTAAGCAGCTTTGCTATTTTCCATAATATTTTCAATGAACCTCTGCAGCTTATTCTTGCAAACCTGTGTGAACAGGGAAAACTTCTTCCCTTGCCATGTCATCACCTGTTTATTATCTTTGAACTCCTTCATCCTTACCACAATATTGTCTTTATTCTTTTTTTGTCGTTTTTGTGGTTTTATTTAAACACAAATATAACACGCATGCAAGCCATCTCCTCATTCTCTTCGCTGCGCAGCCTGGCGTTGGGACTGGTGACCCTGATGACCGGCTGTGCTGCTCTTTCTACGATGGCTTTTCGGTTCTTGGAAGAAACATTGTGAGCAATCTCAGCACAGTAAGATTTGTTGCACATCAGCAGCACCTCCAGCTCCCTGACGTTGTGGACCAGAAATTTCCGGAAGCCGCTAGGCAGCATGTGCTTGGTTTTCTTGTTGCTCCCGTAACCAATGTTGGGCATTAGAATCTGGCCCTTGAATCTTCTCTGCACCCTGTTGTCAATCAAAACCTCTGGGCTTCCGCCAGTTTCGCTTAATTTTGACATATCAGTCTGATTGGTGCTGGATGAACTTCTTGGTCCTGTTTTTGACAATCTTGGGCTTCACCAGAGGCCGGAGGGCAGCCGTGATGCCGTAAAAAGAGCTATTCGTCTTCTTCTTTTTTTTTTTTTTTTTTTAATCTCTGTGTTTGTTTGGAGTTTTGCTCGTTTGTTTTGTTTTGTAAGGAAGGGTCTCAAGTAATCCTGGCTGACCCCAAACTTGGAATCCTTTCGGCTCAGCCTTCTCAGAGCTGGGATTATAGATGTGTGCTGCTTCCTCTGGCCCTTAATTATTCTTTTATTGTTACTGTTGCTCCTGTGTTACTCCCCTCATCCTCCACAGCAATTGGGAATTAAATCCAGAGCTGGAGCTTTGTGCATGGTGGACCAGCTCTCTACTACTTAACTAAATCCTCAGTCCCTGGATTTGTTCCCTGTTTTAGATCTAGTTTATGAGGTGTGTGTGTGTGTCTGTCTGTCTGTCTGTCTGGTCTGGATATGTGCAGGTGTGTGCATACCTCAACTCATGAGGAGGCCACATGTGGAATTGGATCCATCAGAGCTGAGGCTACAGGTATTTGGGAGACACTGGAGACACCTGGAGACACCTGGCTTGTTCTGTGGGTTCTGGGATCTGATTTCAGTTCTCTTGGTTGCTCAGCAAGTGTCCGTAACTCCTGAGCTATCTTTCCAGCCCCTCTTTTTTTTTTTCTTATGATTTCAAATATTCTGTAGTTTCATGGTGTCCTTGGGAAGCTAAGGGAAAGAGAGATTGGAGCTGGAACTTGTACCAAGGCTTCAAGGGTGCTAAGCATATATTCCTAACAACTGAGGTACAAGTCTACCCCATGTGTTATTTTAGTGTCTTTATCCCTGTGGATAGGATTTGTCACTAGCCTGCCTGCCTGCCTGCCTGCCTGCCTGCCTGCCTTCCTTCCTTCCTTCCTTTCATTCATTTATTTATTTTTGGTTTTTTGAGACAGGGTTTTTCTGTAGCTTTGGAGCCTGTCCTCGAACTCATACTGTAGACCAGGCTGGCCTCAAACTCACAGAGATCCGCCTGCCTCTGCCTCCTGAGTGCTGGGATTAAAGGCGTGCGCCACCACCGTCCAGCTACTAACATTTCATTTAGACAGTCAACTATTGTTTTATTTCCTACAGGTAAAACCTTAAACATCCCCTTTGTGTCGGCCCACCGCAGTATAAGGACTTAAACATTCTTCACCACTGGCTTTAGCTCAACCCAGCATCTGTCATTAACTACCACAAAACATTGCATCTGTCAAATATATATTCTGTTGAGCACATCTTCAAATATCTTATAGAAGCCATTATGTCTATGATTCCTCACTGAAAATCTGATTAAAAGCAAAACAAGAACAAACCTGCTGTGCAGTAGTAGCACACGCCTTCCGTCCCCGCACTCAGGCTGTGCAGTAGTAGTGCACGCCTTCCGTCCCAGCACTCAGGAGACAGAGGCAGGTGGGTCTCTTGAGTTTGAGACCAGCCAGGGCTACTACACACAGAGAAATGTCTGGAAAAAACAAAATAGGGGGCTGGAGAGATGGCTCAGTGGTTAAGAGCACTGCCTGCTCTTCCAAAGGTCCTGAGTTCAATTCCCAGCAACCACATGGTGGCTCACAACCATCTGTAATGAGATCTGGTGCCCTCTTCTGGCCTGCAGGCATACATACAGACAGAATTCTGAGAATACTATATACATAATAAAGAAAAGAAAAAACAAAACAACCAACCAACCAACTACAATAACAACAGGTCCAAACACATACAAAGCACACACACCTAGATCTATTATGAGAGTTTCAGGGAACTTGAGCCCCTGTGAAGCTCAAACATGGTTGGATCTTGATTTAGGTTTCTCAAACTGGAACAAACTTTGGCCTTAGGCTCCATAAATTTGTAGATTAGATTCGTAGATTTGTGCTGAGCCCTGGAGTAAGCTGCACTTCCTGAAGCCTAGCTGAGCTACTCCGGCTCCAGCTTCCCCCATCCCCACCATCACCCTACGAGCATTTTCAAATGTAGAACACAATTAAAGCAAACAAACAAAAAAGTGTGTCTCATTTCTCACTCAGTATTATGGAATTAGCTCCCCATTTACTTGAATAATCATTAAAAAACCAACTGTACTGTACTGTACTGTAGGACAGTGGTTAGTTTAACTAGATATGGAGCAGACATCAGCTTCTGAAGAGGCGCTTCCCCGTGGTGGCTCTCCCTTCTCTTTCTGTCCACTGTTTTCCCTGTTGTTTGCACGTTAGGGAGCTGTCACTGTGTCAAAGAGGGGGTGAGACTGAATGGATCACAATGGAAAGAACAAAGCTAGTGGAGCCCTGTGGGCTGGAGCAACTTGCAGAGCCTCGCCAAGCTCCAGGGCCGGAAGGAGAGAGAGCCTTTCCTTTTCATGTAGTCTTTTGATAGGAGAAGAATGAACGTTCTCTCAAGTCAGTGACAGATAGGATATGATGAAAGGCCTTATGCTGCGTTCCAAGCTGGCTGCCCGTGGGCTCTCTGCTTTAGTTTGCAAAACAGGTGAGAGCTGACTTATTGGCCACTCGGTTTTGGTCATCTTGCTGGCCAAGGTTGTGTGATGTTCTTACCCTCCCTAAAGACTAAGTTTTGTTTAATGAAAATGACTGGGTCAGATCCCTCTCCAGAAGCACAGCTGGCTCACAGCTTCCGTCCATCCCCACGGTGGCACACAGGCCAAGGCTCCCGTGGCTGGCCCAGTCGATGACAGAGCACAGCAGGGATGTTAGTGTAGGCACACGGGGTGAGATATGCAATTTCTCTGACATAAAGATTTCTTGACTTGGCCAAACCGTTTTTGGAACTACATTGCAACCTGAGCTTCTCAAATCTGACACAGCCTCTTTCCTTCCACACATCAGACCTCTGGGGCTGTCCCTTCCTTTGCCTACTTCTCCAGTGAATCTTTTGCGTATTCTAGGATAAAAAGAAACTGATCATGGCTTTGTTCACTTGAAGCGTAAATTTAGTGTCTTATTTCCTTGAATGGCAGTGTTGCCTAAAGCTTTAAGAACGCTGTGGGCTAGGTTGGCTATGCCTGTAATTCCGGAATTTAGGAGCCCAAAACAGAAATATCTCAAGCTCTGGGCCAGCTTGAATTACAAAGCAAGATTGTTTCTCACCAGGCGGTGGTGGCGCATGACTTTAATCCCAGCACTTGGGAGGCAGAGGCAGGCGGATCTTTGTGAGTTCAAGGCCAGCCTGGTCTACAGAGTGAGTTCCAGGACAGGCACCAAAGCTACAGAGAAACCCTGTCTTGAAAGACAAAAAAAAAAAAAAAAAAAAAAAAAAAAAAAAAAAAAAAAAAAAAAAGAAAAAAAAGAAAGAAAAAGACTGTTTCTCAAAAACTAAGAGGCTGAAGAAATGGCTCAGCAGGTCTGGATTTGGTTCTTAGCACACACATGGCGGCTTTCAACCATCCAAAGTTCCAACTCCAGGGGACCTGATGTATGCTTCTGACCTCCATGGGTCCCTCATACATGGGTTCAGGCATACATTCAGGCAAAAACACTGACAAACATAAAAGAAAATAAATAAATCTAAAATTTTAGTGCTCTAAGTGGCCGAGCCATCTTTTCAGCACCACAGAAGAATTTTTAAATTAAACATTGTAACTCAATGCAATCCAAAAATATACTAATTTTATAACTACATACTGGGGAATGATGGGAAAGTCTTAAGTCTTTGTTTTCCCTAGTTAAACTATTATGTTCCCATAAGCTGAAAACTTTGTGTTAGAGACACATGCACGAGTCAGTCTCCAACCTAAGCTTCAGCCAGCTTTGTGGCAGCCGAGACACCAGGCGGCAGTGCTGCTGCAAGACTCCACAGCAGTGCTGTCAGAGACACCTTGCTGGGCACCTTGTGGTGACAGCACATTCAGAAGCCTGTTACTCTTCTGCTTCCCACTATCCTGACCCCATATAAAGTCACAACCTTTTAAGAAGGTTTAAGAAGCTAGGAGCTGGAACTGGGGAGGAGGCTGATTTATCAGCCTGGGTTTACTAATTTAAGTGGGGCTTTTTGTTGTTGTTTTGTTTTTTCGAGACAGGGTTTCTCTGTAGCTTTGGACCGTGTCCTAGAACTAGTTCTTGTAGACCAGGTTGGCCTCGAACTCACAGAGCTCCACCTGCCTCTGCCTCCTGAGTTAAAATTAGGCGTGCGTGCGCCACCACCGCCCGGCCTAATTTAAGTGTTTTTAAGCGCTGACCGGGAGCAAGAGACTTGGGCAGCCCCCCAGTCCATCCGCATTTGGCGCTGTTGTCCGTGCTGAGCTAGCTGCTTCTCTTGCAGTGAATGTGGTGGAAGCCCTTCAGGAATTCTGGCAGATGAAGCAGTCCCGGGGCGCCGACTTGAAGAACGGGGCTCTGGTGGTGTATGAGATGGTTCCCTCCAACAGCCCTCCCTACGTCTGCTACGTCACTTTGCCTGGGGGAAGCTGTTTTGGGAGTTTCCAGGTAAGAGCGGCAAGGCCAAGTGTGTACTGCTAATAAGGATTTTATTGGTTCTGCCCGAAGTCACGTGGTTGAGCCTCCAACTCTGGGCAAATCCTCCGGGCAAGCACCCGAGGCTTAGATGAGACCACAGAGGAGCCTCTTCAGCACACTTTCTTTCAGCCTGTAAAATCTCAAACCCATCTCAAACTTGAGCCGTTACGATTGTGCCCTTTTTACTGTGTCGGACTCCCAGCGCCTAACCTTTGTGTTAATCTGACTTCGACAACTGCACCCCAACTTCCTGCCATTCCTTCTTTTTAAACTGTGTATGGGTGTTTTAGCTTGTGTGTCTGTGCGGCACATATGTGGAGTGCCCAGATACTCTGGAACTGGAATCCCAGATGGTTGTAAGTTACCATGTGGGTGCTGGGAATCAAACCTGAGTCCACTGGAAGAGCAGCCAGTGCTCCCAACCACTGCTCGGATGTTATTTTTAATTATATGTGTCGGTGTGGGGGGAGTGTGTGAATGCAGGAACCACTGAAGCCTGAAGACGGTAGCAGATCCCCTTATGAGGTTCACAGCTGTAAATCTGAACTCAGGTCCTCTGGAAGAGCAAGGAGTGCTCTTAACTACCCAGTCATTTTTTGTCCGGTCCCTCTTCCTTCCTTTTATTCTTTTTAACATTTATTTATTTATTATGTACACTGTTCTGTCTGCATGTTTGCCTGCATCCAGAAGAGGGCGCCAGATCTCATTATAGACGGTTCTGAGCCACTATGTGGTTGCTGGGAATTGAGCTCAGGACCTCTGGAAGAGGTCTCCCCAGCCCCCCACTCCCCACCTTTTTTTTTTTATTATTAAAGTATTTTATGTAACCCAGCCTGGCCTCAAACTACGGAGTTAGGGACAATCATGTTGAACTGCTGATCCTTCTGCCTCCATCTCGGAAGTGCAGGGATTATTGGCATTGCACTATCAACGCCCTATTTGTGCAGTTCTTGGGGACAGATCCCACGACCTCCTGCATACTAGGCAAAACCTCCACGTGAACTACAGCCTTCTCCCCGGGTTGCATTGTCCTAAAAGTTTTCCCACCGCTACAGACACGGAAGACCGACAGTGGTGACAGAATAGATACTTTATAGGCCCGTGAGAAGTGGGAGGCGGGAGAGATGGTTTAGTCACCGTGAGCACCTGCTGCTCTTTCAGAGGACCACGTTCAGATCCCAGCACTCACATTGGACAGCTCCAGGGACCTGATACTCTCGTCTGGCCTCTACAGGCACTCACTCCTGTGTGGATTATAGTAAAGTGGTCCCACACTAGCTCAGAGTGGAGTATTATTTAGGGGTAGACTCACAGATCAGCAGTCCTGGCCACGCCCAGAATGGACTGATATCTTAAAGGCTATTGGCTGAAGAAGTTCCCACAGCACATCTCTCTCTCTCTCTCTCTCTCTCTCTCTCTCTCTCTCTCTCTCTCTCTCTCACACACACACACACACACACACACACAAAGTAAAAAGAAATGTAGATTTCTATGAATATAATCAAGAATTGATTTTTCAGCTGGGCAGTGGTGGCTCATGCCTTTAATCCCAGAATTTGGGAGGTAGAGTAGGCCAGCCTGGTCTACAAAGTAAGTTCCAGGACAGCCAGGGATGTTACACAGAGAAACCCTGTCTCCAAAAACAAAAACAATTCAGACAGGAAGGCAACTTAAGAGTCTGGATAAGAATTTTTTTAATTTTTTTTTTTTTTTGGTTTTTTTGAGACAGGGTTTCACTGTGGTTTTGGAGCCTGTCCTGGAACTCACTCCTGTAGACCAGGCTGTCAGGCTGGCCTCCAACTCACAGAGATCCGCCTGCCTCTGCCTCCCAAGTGCTGGGGTTAAAAGTGTGCACCACCGCCTGGCTCTGGATAGGAATTTAAAGAGGACAATAGACACCTCTGATTAGTTTTCGGGTGACTGTATCACCTTTAGATAAGGTTGGAACCCTTGCTGTTTCCTGTAGCCAACACACTGGCAGGGGTGTGTTTGCTGAGATTTAGACAGTGAGGCTTCAATGCTGGAGGAAGAACAACCTTTATTTTGCCCCAAGCTAGAGCCTTTTATATCTTTAGGCAGCTGGCCCTTGCAACACTGAACACTGAGCAGCCAGAAACTGACGTCAAGGTCAGGGCATCGTGTTTGGAAGAACACTTCTGCTAAAAGCCACACAACAGAAGGAACACAAACATCCTTGTCAAATACTGGGTACAAGGAAGTTTAGCTGTCGGTCAGGGGGAGTGAGGGCGGCCAAGCCATCTGGGTACAGCCAGATCACAACAGCCCTCAGGCTTCCCCATCATATGATTTATAATGTATTCTTACTGATTGTCTCTTTAAGGGTTGCAGACTTTGTTCTTTTTCTTTTTCTGGCTCTGTAAATATGTATATCTGTGTGCATACACATAAGATTGAACCCAGGGCCTTGCAAACTATCTTTTTTCTTGTGCAGTATTAAAACCCTGCCACCCACTCCGACTTTAGCATAGATAAGCTCTCAGTTCTTGGCTTACACAGAAGGTCCGAAGGAAACCCTGTATTATTATTTACTTAGTTTGTCTTTCTGAGACAGGGTCTCTGTAGTCTTGGCATGCATTAGTATGCCTAGTTTGGAAGCTTTCTGACTCAGCACTTGAGCCATTTCAGATAAATAAAAGCCCAGGATGACTAATGTTTACATTTAGTTTTTCATTTTCATGTGTGTGATGTGCACATAGTGGGCACATGTACACATGTATGTATACATACGGAATCCTAGGTCGATGTGGGAAGACATCCTCAGTCTTCCACCCTACTTTTCGAGGCAGTCTCTCAAACCCAGAGTTTGCCAGCGTGGCTAGGCTCTCTGGCCAGCTTGCTCTAGGAATCCTATCTCTGGAGTTCCAAGGCTGGAGCCTCAGACTTTTGCTAAAGAATAATATGGTTCCTTCTTCTCACCTCCTCATAGTTTGAAGGGCAGTTTGAATTTTATGATGCTCATAAAGGAACCATTATTGTACTTTGATTTGTTGTTTTCTGGGAGTAAAATTATTTGTCCCTGGCCCCTTTTAGCTTGTTATTTAAATCCGCCTTGGCAGGTGAAATTCTCCCTGCTGGGTCTCTTCTTGGCTGACTTTTACAGAAGCAGTATTATGGGATAAAGTTTTTAAGAGACTGATAATAAAGTAGAAATAGGGAAACTAAAGAAACAGAAAGCCTTAGTGTGAACACATCAAGCTCCGTATGCCGTCTCAGAGGGAACTGTCCACTAAAGGAAATTAGGAGTAACCAATAGTGGTAGCTAAGTAACCAACATCTCCCACTGAATCATCAAGCCAATGTGATGGCACATGTCTTAACCCTAGCACTTGGGAGGCAGAGGGATCTCTGTGTGTTCAGGGCTAACCTGGTCTACACAGTGAGTTCCAGAACAGAGACCTTGTCTCAAAAAGTAAAAAGCCCCACTGCTCCTGTTAATCATGAATGGAAAAGGGTCCAGAGGCTTCTGCGACACCTGATGAAAAGACTAGTTATCCCAGAGCAGTGTGATGGGGGGGGGGTCCCGTTCCCCCGGCCGGGGGGGGGGAATCTGATGTTGGGAAGATCTAAGACTTCTGAAAATTGTATTTGCCCTGATACCATGTTGGTTGCAGTTTAAAACAATTTCCTGCTGCTTCCCTTGCTTTCCTCAGCCGGCCTTCCTTCCCTTAGCTGCCTGTCCCTGCATCTACTGTGGGGAAAGACATCTTCAGACTTAGACCCTATTGAGGTAGCTCCTGGGACCTGCCTGCTTACTGCTAAGAGTGAAGAGCAAGAATCCCAGATGGGTGCTTCTAACAGGTCATGGCCTGTCTTAATCTTGGGTTATCTAGAATTCAGACACCATCACCCAAAAAAGCAGGCCAAGAGCTGGCTTTTGAGTAGTTAGTTCTGTTGACAGTTTAAATAGAAGCATTTTCATGTCTTATGGTTATATGCTGACTTCAGCAGCCTTCCTTGCCCTGCATTCAATTTGGTATGAGCCAGTCATCTCCAATTCTTTAATGACTTCAGGATGTTGAGTCAAAGTTATGTTTTCAAACACCCCAGCCATTTCACAGCAATGCTCCGGAAAGTGTGATGAACACTACTGATTCATCCGTGGTGTCCAAATGTCTTCCTCCTCGGTGGCTTCCTTCCTGCTGTTCTTCCTCTCTCTTAGAGCCCATACGCACATGCTCTCATTCTTTCTCCCCCAACCCAGTTTTGCCCCACAAAAGCTGAGGCCCGGCGAAGTGCTGCGAAGATTGCGCTAATGAACTCCGTGTTTAATGAGCATCCATCCCGAAGAATCACTGATGAGTTTATTGAGAAGAGTGTCTCAGAGGCCCTGGCGTCCTTCAATGTAAATAACTTGCAAATGGGAGGAGGGAGAGCAGGGGGTGGGAGAGCTGGGGAACCCATGCATTTTTGTTCTTTTCTCTGTCTGCTTTTCTATTCTGTTTATTCTATTGATTTTTTGTGTGTGTTGTGTGCCCCATGTCTGTCTTTAATTCTAGATCTGTGTTTTTATGTTTAATGATTTGTCTTTGTGTTTCTTTTTATTTGTTATGTATACAGTATTCAGCCTGCATGTATGCCTGCAGGCCAAAAGAGGGCACCAGATCTCATTACAGATGGCTGTGAACCATCATGTGGTTGCTGGGAATTGAACTCAGGACCTCTGGAAGAACAGCCAGTGCTTTTAACCTCTGAGCCAGTTTTCCAGACAGTATCTAGATACTTTTAATTTAAGATTTGTGGGATTAAAAATCATATTAAAATTTTTTAAATTATAATGATAGTCATGGTGATACAGACCTTTAGTTCTAACACTCCGGAGGCAAATAGATGTATGTGAGTTCCAGAATAGCCAGGGCCATAGAGAGAAACTATCTCAAACAAACAAAAATAATAATGAAATTTTATGTTTATATGCATGCCATGGCACATCTATCAGAGGACAACTTCTGGGAGGCCATTGTGGTTTTCTCCTTCAGCCGTGAGGAGTCCTGTATCAAACTCGGGTTTCCAGGTGTGGAGGGAAGTATCTTTAAGTGCTGAGCCCTCTTACTGGTTTCACTGGTCCCAATTTATGGAATTTTAGAGCTATGAAAATAATGAAATAGTTTCATGCTTGAATTTTACTTCTCCTAAGTTTGGTTTAAAAATTTCAGTTCCTGTTCCTTTAAGACAGGCAGCTCTGCAACATGGGTTGGGGAAAGATTCCCTCCCCTTCTATCAGCAGGTGTTGATGGCCAGGCAGTGGTGGGCACACCTTTAATCCTAGCACGTGGGAGGCAGAGGCAGGCAGACCTTTGTGAGTTTGAGGCCAGCCTGGTCTACAGAGGGAGTTCCAGGACAACCAGGGCTACACTGAGGCTACACTGAGTGGGAGCACAGTTCCTGCCCCTCATCAGCTGCAACACTCAGAGTGGTCCCTGCTCCTCCTGGGCAACGCAGTACACTGGGCCCTGAGGATGCAGGTTAGGGAGAACCGGCCCCGCCCCTTGCTCTTCCCTACAAGGGGTATACTAGCTGAGGCAATGATGGAGAGCCCACCATGGTGGCAAAAACGGGAAAGCTGGTGGGCAGACCAACCCTGCGACTAACTACCCAGGCCCAGAACCAGGGTTATGTGTTGGCGCACCCCAACATCCACCTCATCTGTGTTAGATCTGGTGGTGGTGAGGGGTGTGCCAGCCCTGTGGACCCAGAGCTGTAGGCTCTCCAGGACACAGGGCAGCAACAGGATGTCCAGGTAGAGCCCCAGTGAGGGTACAGTCAGTGGCGCAGCAGGGACCAGGGGCCTTGAACGCCTGCATCTGAAACTGTATGGATAACGGGGTTTACTGCGTGACTCACCGTTGTCACAGTGCAGCTTCCATAACAAAAATTCCCTCTTCTTCCTTTCTTCCCCCCCTTTCTCTAAAATTTTATTTTGTTTTATTTTGGGGTGGGGAGGGAAATGGGCGGGATTGGGAGGCATGGTGTGAAAATCACAAAGAATAAATTTAAAAAAGCAAAACAAAACAAGGTAGCTCTGTGAGTGGAGACTGGCAGATCCCCAGAACTTGATGGCCATTCATTGAACCCAATCATAGTGCTCAGAGTTTACTTGTAAATTAAATGGAGGGACAGAGAGGGGAAGAGACCCAGTCAATCTCCAGCCTCCACACTGGTGTGCACACAGAATAGACTCTTAAGCTATTTATTTTTATTTCAGTGAAGCAACTGGAAAATTTAAAATCAAACATGGAGGCTTAAAAAATGGCTCAGCAGTTAAGAGCACCTGCTTTCTCGGAGGACCCAAGTTCAGGTCCCTGTGCCAGGCAGGCTGCAGGGAACTCCACTTCCAAGGGGATCTGCTGCCTTCTTCTGGCCTCTGTTGGCATTTGTACACATCACAGACACACACACCAGCTTTTAAAAATTCTTTTTAAAAAAAATTAAGTATGTGGCTCATGAAGGGCTGGGGAATGGGTCAGCAGATAAAAGCATTTGCCTTGCAGGCAAGAGGTCCTTAGTTTGATCCCCAAAGCCCACTTAAAATGCTAGTGTGGCGGCTCACATGTGTAGCCCCAGAGCTGGGTATCCCTAGGGCTCTTGGCTCAGTCTAGCATAACTGGTAAGCCTGAGGCCAACAACAGTCTGTCTCAGAGGAGGGGTCAGTGCTCCTCAGGAGTAACTCCAGATGAGTACACATACACATGTGCACATGCACGCACATGTGCACACATGAGCGCGCACACACACACATGCATAAAAATGTTACTAATTTCTACTGGATAATGCTGGTCAAAGTGGTAATTCTGATTGACCCCCTACTTGTCTTTTTCATTCCTGTTACCAGGGTAACAGAGAGGAAGCTGACAACCCAAATACAGGGATTGGTGCTTTTCGATTCATGCTGGAATCTAATAAGGGCAAGTCAATGCTGGAGTTCCAGGTACTGTCCCACCTACTTCCCTGGCTCTAATCACTGCAAGTCCAGTGTCACCTACTCATCTCTACCTTACTGTTCTGAGGGCAGGGCAGGGAGGCAGATGGAGAGAAGGTGGTTAGATTTTCAAAGTACAGTTAGTTACCTTTCTTCCCCCAAGGGCACACCAGAGTTGGTGATTAGATATTAGATGCTTCCAAAAATACATTTTGTCCCATTTGATTCTGATGTGGTATAACTTAAAATCACTATCCTGACTGTATCAGCCAGGATTATCTGGAGAACCAGGACAGAATGCACTCTGCTCTTCTCTCTCTCTCTCTCTCTCTCACACACACACATACACACACACACACACACACAATTTATTAGAGTGACTTATAGGCTGTGGTCTGACTTTTCCAATGAAGTCTGTCTCCAGTAATCCAGGAGTTGTCCAGTAGAGATTGGATGTCTTAGCTGGTCTTCAGTGTATACCAGAATCCCAAAGCAGGCTCTAATACCAGTGAAGGGATGGCCACACTGGTGAAAGCAGGCTTCCTTCCTCCATGTCCTTATATAGGCCGCCACAGTGTGGCCCGGATTTAGGGGAGGTGTGTTGTGTTGTTCCCACTCCAAATGATCCCATCAAGAAAAGTCCCTCAGAGTGCACCAGCAGCTTGGGGTTTAGTTAATTCCAGGTATCAAGTTAACAACCAAAATTAGCGATCACACGAGGATTTCCCATCTTCTTTCCTCAGGAGCTCATGACAGTTTTTCAGCTGCTGCACTGGAATGGCAGCCTCAAGGCCATGAGGGAAAGACAGTGCTCTCGACAGGTAGGAGTCAGCGGAGGGAAAAGTGTGAAGAGCTGCTTTGGGCTTTAAATGGCTGCCAGGCCGTCGCTGCTTTAGGCCCTACTTCAGCATCCTCTTTGCTCTCGCATTCTTTCATCATTTTCCTTTGTCGAGACAGGGTTTCTCTGTGCGGCCCTGGCTGTCCTGGAACTCGCTCTGTAGACCAGGCTGGCCTCAAACTCAGAGATCCGCCTGTCTCTGCCTCCTGAAGGCACCAGTCTGTCCTGGTATTCTTTGCTGTCTGAATGTCATTGTGGCCCTTTTACCTTGCTTCCCCACTATGAAGTTTCCCTTAGGAAACTCTTTGACTGAACTGGGTTTGGTAGCTCATACCTTTAATCCCAGCACTTAGGAGGCAGAGGCAAGTGGATCTCTGAATTCTAGCAAGTTCCATGGTAGCTTGTGCGACATTGTGAGACCCTGTCTCAAAACAAAACAAACAGCCTCCTTGGCCTCTGTCTCCTAGCTGCCAGGACATGAACTAGTCTGCCCCACCACGGCTCCCTTCCAAGATGAGCGGACAGCTCTGAAACCGCCCCATTCTGGTGTCCTTCTCACTAAGAACCAGAGGACCAAGTCTATCACATTAAAGCACAGATCAGCCTTCAGTGACCCATGGAACTTTCAGTTCCTTCTGTAACAAGGAGCTGGCTGGAGCAGAAGAAATGAAATAAATGAAATAAAATAATTTTGGCAAGTTATGGGCATTCCTACATCCCCTTGAGCAAGTGTGCTGAGGTTTTCATTTAGGAGATTTTGTTGTTTTTAAAAGATGACCACATTTCCCACCTAAGTCAGATACCTTCTGCGTGCTGCTGGAGCATTGAAGGTGTGGTCCCCCAGCTCAGAGCTTTCACTGTGCTCCCCATGTCAGAGCCCCTGTGCCTTCCTCATCTGTGCGTACATCCAAGCTCCCCCCACTACTGCTTTACTTAAACTCTTATAAGGGAAAATAAATCTTTGTAGTCATGTGCTAACTTCAGTTCCAACTATGCTATACTGTATAGATACATGTCTGTCTGTTGGGTCCCTGTGCTATAATGTGTAGGACATGTGCCTGTCTTTTGAGGTCCTGTGCCATGATGTGTAGGACATGTGTCTGTCTATTGGGGTCCTTGCTATAATGTGTAGGACATTTGCCTGTCTATTGGGGTCCTGTGCTATAATGTGTAGGACATGTGCCTGTCTATTGGGGTCCTGTGCTATAATGTGTAGGACATGTGCCTGTCTATTGGGGTCCTGTGCCATGATGTGTAGGACATGTGCCTGTCTATTGGGGTCCTGTGCTATATGATGCTTTTTACCTTCTCAGTGACCTCTGCATTCCTCTCCCTGACTAGGAGGTGTTGGCTCATTATTCGCACCGGGCCCTGGATGATGATATTCGCCACCAGATGGCTTTGGACTGGGTGAACAGGGAGCAGAGTGTGCCAGGGGCACTGTCTAGAGAGCTGGCCTCCACTGAGCGGGAGCTGGATGAAGCCCGGCTGGCGGGCAAGGAGCTGCGCTTCCACAAGGAGAAGAAGGACATCCTCATGTTGGCTGCTGGGCAGCTGGGCAATATGCATTCCTCCAGCTGCTAAGCATCTGCCCTCACCTGCCATGCCCTTCAGCCCTTTTTTTGTATGTCTCCTTTCTAAGACGTAGGACGATTTCTGTATATACTTTCTCAATTTTATACTTTTAAATATAGAGATATATGTATAAATCCTACAGCTGGATTCCTGTTTGCGGAGACCCCTTTTCTAACCCCCGTTTGGGGATGTAGTTACTTTGCAGTACCACTGTTCCGTGTGAGAGCTTTGCTGGCTCGGCACCTGCAGAGGAGGAACAGGAGTCGCTCCTGTAGCACAGCACACTTTACTGAGTGTTCCTGTCTCTTTTTCTTAAAAAGCAGCCAGCCCGCCAGGTGGTGGCTCATACCTTTAATGGCAGCACTCAGGAGGCAAAGGCAGTTTGCCTTTTCAAACTCTGTGAGTTTGAGGCCAGCCTGGTCTACAGAACAAGTTCCAGAACAGCCAAGGCTACACAGAGAAACTCTGTCTCAAAAAGCCAAAAAACAACAACAAAAAAAAAACAGCAATCAGGTGTGAGTGTGATGACTCGTAGCCATCACCTCTGCACTCAGCAGTCTGTGAAGGCGGCCAGCCTGGACTACACAGTTACAGGGCAGCGTGGGCTCCAGGGTGTAAGACCGTCTCAAACCCCTCTTCTACATACGAGACAAGAGTCGGATAAGGAGTATGTGTTCCACCCTCACCCATGTTTGCTTTCTCCGTACTGAAATGGTGTGTGTCGAGCTTTGGCTCGAGGTGGACCTTCTGGCGCTCCTCTCCTGCTCTTTCCTCCTTCCTTGCCTCCAAATGCTCCTTTGTTTGGGGGCTTCCCTACCTTATCCAGAAGGAACAGGAGATCTGGCTTTTTTGTTTCGTGAGACATCTTACTAAGTAAGTAGCCCTGGCTGGCCTGGAGCTCCTTCTGTAGACTAGGAGAGCTTCATACATGTGGCGGTATTCCTGCCGAGGTCCTGGGCATGTGTCACCATGCCTGGCTTGGCTTTTATTTTGAAGTCACTCCTGACAAACTGCTCAAGAACAAGAGAATTCTAAACCCAATGGAGGGTGGGGATGGACACCAGTCCCTAAACTCTTCTGGCCTTATCGCTACCTTCCAGCCGAGTGCTTTCTGCTGTAAGAGGAGCCTAGGGCTTCGGCTGCTTACCTTTACCATTCTGTGCCACTTCTCCCTGCCCATCATATGTGGTAAGGCTACACACATGCGCACACACTTCTTCTTCCCATTTCATTTTGTTTATGTAGCCCAGGCTAGCCTCAAACTCTCCTTGCAGCTGAGAATGACCTTGAACTCCTGAGCCTCCTGCACCCACTGTGCTGGGATTACAATGGAGTACCACCTCACCTGCCTTAACCCTTCCTTCAATGATTGGAAGAAGTATTCTGCTCTTTAGAAGCTGTTATCTGGTCTGTGTAGTGAGAACCATGGTCCTCTCAGACCCACCGAGTTGTGCTGTTTACTCTTAGATTCTCATTTCCTGTGTCTTCCTCCTTTTCCTCCACATTGCCTGTGAGAATGTGACTTGATGAAACTTGGATGAGAATGTGGTTCTTCCTAAGTGGAACCTTGGGCGCCTGCAGGAGAGGAAAGAGAACGAGGTACTTGTGTGTGCAGAGAGAGATGTCTTGAAGGCAGAGCTCTGTGCTTTTGGAGACTTTTATGGAGTAAGCTGTTCCCCTTGTTTCCGGGATCTCCGCTACACTGTTATTGTTCACTGCACTTTCTATCATTTTAATGCTACTATAATTTGACTTCTCATTTAACAGTTGTGATTTGTTTATTGATTAGGAACTGGGCCTGGTGATGCAGGTCTGTAATCCCAGTTACTCTGGAGGATAAGGCAGGAAGATCAGAAATTCAAGGTACATCCCAGCTAGAGTGAGTTCAGAGGCAACCTGGGTAGCTTAGCAAGACTGTCTCAAAAATATGAAGTAAAAACAGGGCTGGGGATATAGCTTAGCCACGGGGTTTGACGGGTTTGTGAAGCCTGAGTTTAATTTCTACTGCAGAAAGGGTGGGGGGGAGAGTGGGAGATTTGGGGGGAGGAGGGGAAGAAGGGGATAGATTAGATCACAGCTCACTTGGCAGGAGCAAGGTGAAAAGCAGCTTTCTTGCTTTTGAAATCATCTTTGTGACAAGGACACATGGGGTCAGGTCGTGAGCCCAGGGACAACAGTGTCAGTGCTTAGAAAAGGGTTCCTCCATTCCTCTAACCCTGCCTCTTTATTTCACAAAGCAGACTGGGTCGGAACAGAGGCTCCCATATTACACGGTCAGTGCACCTGTCTTAAATTGGTATCTATAACCCAGAAGTCACGAACCCTCCCACTTCTCCTGTGCGCCGTTCTTTGTTAAGATGTGTTAAGGGGTATGTGCTTGGGGAAGAATTGTCTTTGCACCTTCTGGATTTATTTTTCTCAAAAACCCAAGACTCCAAAAAACATGAGAAAAATTGTTTTGTCCACTTTTGATGTTGAAGATTTTAGTTATCTTTTTGGTACTTTCTATGTATTTTATATGTAAAATTTTACACAATTAAAAATGGGTTTTGTCTAGTAAGCCAGAATGACTTTTTTTTTCTCCTGTGATAGGATCTCGTGTGGCTTCCAGCTTGCTGTGTATCTAAAGCTAGCCTTGAATATTTCATCCTCCTACCTCCACTCACCAAATAATGAGATCAGGGCCGTGTGCCACTCAGCCTGATTGCTGTTTTTTTGTTTGGTTTTTCGAGAGAGGGTCTTACTATGGAGCCACAGACAGCCTGGAACTTGCTATGTAGATCAGGATGGCTTCAAACTTGCAATAACCTTTCTGCCTCTGCAGTCAGAACCTGGAATTACAAGCATGGGTCACCTCCTGCCAGAATGACAGGCAGTTATCAGAGTAGCTCTACATGGCCTCTTGCACCCACACATAAACTGGCAAAGGCTTTGAGGCTGGTAGGAACAAGAGCATACTGCCGAGAGAAGACAGTTGCTCTCCTTCTCCAAATAGTAAAGGAGCCCGGATTTTGTCCATGGCCCTTTCTTAAGCTCATTCTCACTATAGCAATTAAACTCTATATGTATGATTCTCAAATACATTTCTTCCATCTCAACTTGTTTTGAGCTTTTATGTCTGTATTTCTACATACTGGTCATCACCATCCAGACATGACAGAAACACTGTGAACTCACATATCCATGATGAAACCTGTTTTTCAACTTGCTCTTCCTTGACGTCCTACGTCAATTACAGAATCACCATTCACCTCGTTATTTAAGGTCTCTCCTCACCTCTTCCCCATCCTCATCCAGTTAGTCACTCATAGCGAGTTTGCATTCTATACGAATTCCAGTCTAGTTTGTTCATGTTTCCTGCTTTATTCTGTCCTTCCTCACATCTGAACTGGCCCACTGCCATGGCTCCCTAACTGACCTTTGCACTCCTGCTATTCTCCCGTCATGACGTCTCTGCTCTTCTTCAAACTGTCTTAGCTGTCTTTACCTGTAACGGCACTGCCCAAAGCTTTATGTGAGCTTGAGGTGGAATGAGGTAGGAAAACACCAGCTATTAGATACTGATTTCTTAGTGACCTGCTTAAAGTACTGCTTATACTACCTATTTGCCAATCATGACTCATTTGCTACCTGAACAGAATGACCTGGATAAATAGCCCTAACAGTGGGTCATTGCCCATAACAACCTGCTGAGTGCCTGTACACTTCCGTGAAGTCTTGCTTGCTTGCCTGCCCCACTTGTGGTTTTAGAGTATAAAATGAGAGAACAAACTGGTCCTGGATGGAAGCCTTCCAGGAGCTATGCTGGCTTCAGTCCACTGCAGACATCTCCTCTCTCTCACTCTCATTGGTGTTGAAATGCCTATTCCATAAAGACACAACATTGTATTCTTCAACAAGCCCTTGATGTCAGCTAAGATGACTTTACTGGTAGATGGACCAACACATTAAAAACAATATAACAACAAAACCCCACATTCTCAAGTATTCCAAACTGGTCTTGAGCTCTTGGTATACTGGAGAATGACCTTAAACTTCTGAGCCTCCTGCCTCTGAGAGCTGGGGTTACAGGCATGCATCACCATACTAGGTTTGTGTGTCCCTGGGGACCAACGCAAGGCTTTGTGCGAGATAGGGAAAATACTTTTTTTTTTTTAAGAGATAGGGTTTCTTTGTAGCTTTGGAGCCTGTCCTGGAAGTAGCTCTTGTAGACCAAGCTGGCCTCGAACTCACAGAGATCCGCCTGCCTCTGCCTCCCAAGTGCTGGGATTAAAGACATGTGCCACCACCACCCAGCTTGCAAAACACTTTTTACATCATATTTTTGTGCAAATTTACTGTAGAAAACCTTGCTTTTCTATTTACAGTACTGTGACTAAATGTCCCTTTAGAGTAAATTTATGTTTTAAAAATCTGTTTAAGAAAAAAATGCCAAGCAAAAAATAATTTAGAAGCTATCGGGGGGAGGGGTTTCAAATGTTAAAAGTCATAAATACAGGGCTAGAGGAAAGATTGCTCAGAGGTTAAGAACCCTTGCTGCTCTTGTAGAGGACCTGAGTTGGGTTCCTAGCACCTGTATGGGGAAGTTCACAGCAGCCTGAAACTCTAGCTCTGATATTCTCTTCTGGGCTCTTTAGGCCACTGTGTTCAGCTTCCACTACCACACAGATACAAGTAAGGCAGGCTGAGGTGGCTTGTGTGAGGCAGACAGATCTTTTTGGTTTCAAGGCCAGTCTAGACCATATTGAGTTCAAGGCCAGTCAGGACTTGTGAGACTCGTCTTAAATAAATAAATCTTAAAAAAAAAAAATCATGAACACTGAAGATATCTGAAGTGTAATTTCTTATTTAGGATTAAACTAAAAAAAACCTTTAGCATGGCAAAATGATCCTAAGCTGCTATTTATAGATTTATTCCTAGTCACATAACTTTAAGCATACAGAATTCCCTTTCATTTTAAAATTCACTCTTTTCTTCTTTACCATGAGACAGGCACTGGGCACCAGTTTTAGAGATAATTAGAAAGAAGCATCTTTACTTCATAAATTGCATCATAGTGGGAGGGGAGACAGTTGATAAACAAGTTAGAAACAATACAAGGCAACTGAACATCCTTTTCTCAATTCTAAGAAGGAAAGAAACAGGAAAGGAGGGTAATAAAAATGCCTTCAGTGAGAGTACTGACCCTAAAGGATGAGGTGGGGCCATCCATGCCAAAGACCTGGAGGAACAGCCTCAGCATGAAAGCAGGCCAAGTAAGTGCTCTACCACCTAGCTACATCCCTGCAAAATCCTGAGGTGAGAAAGAGTACACCATAGGTAAGAGCAAGTGTAGGGAAGGATCAATAAGATAGCCTGGTCTACACAGGGAGACCCTGTCTCAAACTAAACAAAACGAAAATACCCATATATGATGGCTCTTCCTGGTTGTCGGCTTGACTGTATCTGGAATGAACTACAATCCAGAAATGGAGGGCACACGTGTGATCTGGATCTTGAGGCAGGAAGGCAACATGACTTTGTTCTGGATCTTGAGGCGGGAATGCGCACCTTTAATCTGGGCTATGCCATCTGCTGGAAGCCTATATGAGGACAATGGGGGAAGGAAGGGTGTTCTTCATCTGCTTGCCCTCACCTCCATCAGCCCATCCATTCCTTCTGGAGATCCCAGCAGACCAGCTGAGACCACCAGCCTCGTGGGACTGAGCAGCTCCTAGATTCTTAGACTTCATAGCTGGCCATTGTTGAACTGCAGCCTACAAATCATTCCGTGTGTGTGTGTGTGTGTGTGTGTGTGAATATCTATAGCTATATATACACTCTCGCTCTCTGAAAGATTCATTCCATAAATTCTGTGACTCTAGTGAACACTAACACAATTCAGAAATGAAAGGCACACTTGTAAGAGATTTTCTGCTTGAAGTGGGTGAATCCACATTTAGTCCAGACCCTTGAGGGAGGATGCACATCTTTGATCCCGATCATGAAGTGGGAAGACAGACCTTTAATCTGGTCTATCTGCTGGAAGTCTACATAAAAACATAGGAAAAGGAAGTTCTTGCCATTCCTTCACTGGCATTGAGCCTACTTCCAGATTCCAGCATAAACACAAGTCCCAGCCTTGTGGGCCTGAGCAGGTACTAGATTTTTGGACTTTCCATTCACAGCTAGACTGCAGCCTGTAAGTCATTCTGATAAATCTTGTGTGTGTGTGAGAGAGAGAGTCATTCTGTAAGTTCTGTGACTCTAGAGAACTCTGACTAACCCTGACTAATCCACCGTACTACCTTCAAGGATGGTAAAGCTGCTGGTTTTAGGGCTCTGATGCCTCCTTCCCTTCTTGTCTGGCCCTGGCTTGTGCCATGCTGGCTATAGAGCCGAGGGCTTCAGGAATACCACTGTACTACATTGATCAATTAAGCAACATTCAGCCTGGTCTACAGTGAGACTCTCAAAACAACAAAAATTGGCTATCTGCCTGGTCAATCAAATTCCAACTGTCCTCATCTAATAGTTTTCTTCTTCCTTCTTCTCCTCCTCTTCCCCAAGTATGGGGTTTCTAAGTATCCCGGGCCACCTGCCTCTGCCTCCCAAGTGCTGGGATTAAAGGCGTGTAAAAGCATGGCTCTTCTACCAGTTTTTCTAAAATTCTGTGCCAGCGGCAGTTTTTGAGCAAGTAATGTTGATTATTTTTAGGATTTATTTATTGTGTATACAGTGTTCTGTCTGCATGTATCCCTGCAGGTCAGAAGAGGGCACCAAATCTCATTATGGATGGTTTTGAGCCACCAAGTGGTTGCTGGGAATTAAACTCAGGACCTCTCAAAGGGCAGTCAGTGCTCTTAACCTCTGAGCCATCTCTCCAGTCCCCAACTTATTTATTTTTTAATGCTTCCTATGAAGATTGGATTGCTTCTTCAAATAGAAGATATATGCTTTAAGTTACTTTTTAGTCCTAACAACATTTACTTATTTGTATATATACGTGTGTTTACATCTTGTATGAAGGCAGGCATCTAGAGGACACCTTGCAAAAGCCGTTTCTTTTCTTCCACCTTATGGTTGCCAGGGATTGAACCCAGGGTGTCAGACTTGGTAGCAACAGTCTTCCTGCTGAGACATCTCATCCCTCGCTGTTTAAGATTAAAAACAAAAATTTAATTCGACTGCCATTTTCTAGTATGGAATGGGGGTAAGTTTCCTTAAATAAGCCTTTAATAACGAAATCAACACGGTTTTAAAAGGATTTCTTGTTAGCTGAAGGTTTTAAGAGAAAGCCAATGAATTTGTCACAAAGCGGAAGCGCTCATAACCTGTGATAGCTGTAGGAGCACTTCCGGCACCATTTTATTTGACTCTACTATATATATTTTTGAGAGAGTCTCATCCTGTAGCCTTAGAGCTTGGCGTGGTGGCGCAGGCCTTTAACCCCAGTACGTGGAAGTCGGGAGCTGGTGGATCTCTATGACTTCGAGGCCAGCCAGGGCTACAAAGAGACTGTCACAAAACAAAACACGCCAAATTATGAGGCTTTAACTGGCCTGGAACTCACCACGAAG